GCTGCCGAAGGAAGGAGGCGGGTCTCGTCTCATCGCCTTGGTACAGACGCTGGTTCGGGTGTGGGCTAAGGCCCGCAGCTCCATCAGTCGGCAGTGGGTTGCTCAGACAGACCTTTGCGATGTCTGGGGAGCTGGGGGCGCTGGTCGTACTTCCTCGGCGGCGGCGTTCGAGCATAACCTGATGGTGGCGGTTGCGTCGCTGCTTGGCTGGCACACGGCGACGGCGGCGGTGGATGCGTGGAAGGCCTACGAGTCCGTCAGCCCTGGCGAGCTGCTTAGTGAGGCCCGCCACCATGGCTTTCCCCTCAGGCTGGCCTGGATGGTTATCGAATACCATCGCCAGCCGAGGGTACTGAAGGCGTTCACTTCCTTTTCAGAGGCCTTTGTATCATGGCAGGGCATGCTTGCAGGCTGTGCCCATTCCACCTCCCTCCTCACGCTCCTCACCCTACGCTCTGTGCGGCGAGTCCGAGCGAGTGGCGTCGTGCCCCGTGCATTGGTCGATGACCTCACGATTCAGTGGGTGGGGGCGGAGGCGGGTGGGATCTCTAAACTGTTTACTGCGCTGGCCAATTTTAAAGCTGATGTTAAACCTCTGGGAATCGTTCTCCAGGACTCGGCCTCGGGGAAGTCTGGCTACGTGGTGGCCAATCGTAAGGTCCTGCGGGCCTCGAAACCCTGGGCTCGCGCGGTTCGGCTGGAAGCCAAGCGTAACATGCGGAACCTTGGTCACGAGCTCTCTGGGCGTGAGCGCAGGCGGCCGCTCACCCGACAGAGAATCGCTAAGCTTGGTCGTCGCATGAACCGTGTTTATCCTCTGCAGAAGGCGGCTGGGACTTGGGTGTCCGTCCTGTGGCGCACTGGCCTGCTTCCAGGTGCTAGTCATTGCTGTGCCGTTTCTGGGACCACGGACGCCGAACTTCGGAAGCTGAGAGCTGCTGCGGGGGCTTTGGTTGGCGCGAAGGGTCGCGGGGGGTCCCTGACGGTCTACTTGGCGTCTCAGGCGGATCCGTGGTGTGACCCGATTTTTGAAGCCACGATTGCCCCAGTCAAACACTACGCCCAGGTTATTTGGATGCAAACTGTGTCCCTGGGCACTCTCGAGAGGGCCTGGAGGGTCTTGGCCGAAAAGCGGGGTCAGAAGTTCTCCTGGCTCCATGCCTCGGGCCCGCTTTCGGTGGTGGCGCTGTCTCTCCTTCGTGTTGACTGGTGCATGGAGTCTTCTGTGCTGATCCGTTCCGATCAGGGAATGGTGTACTCTTTGCTACAGATTGATCCGCAGCATTCAATCAAGTTGCTTCGTGCTGGCATCCAGCGCTGGCAGATGCGTCGCATCCAGGCTCATTTTCCTGGTTTCCCCGAGGACGCCGAGTTGTGGCCCCGTGGGATCCGTGCTTGCGCTGGGTCCAAGTGGGCCGCGCTCAAAAACCCCAGGTCGGCTGGAATCCTTCGGTCTCTCTGGTCCGACTCCTGGTGGCCCCAGGCCAAGTTGCATGACAAAGGGCTCGCCCCCGATCCTACGTGTAGGGGCTGCGGAGCAGGCAGAGAGACGTGTGGTCACCTGTTGCTCGAGTGCCCAGTGCTGCGTGAGCAGCTGCTGGAGTTTGAAGATGAAGTTCCGATTTCTGAGTCCCTGGCCAAAACTCGGGATCGGTTTCTGGACCAGGGGCCGGTTGGGCGACCAGGGGCCGCTCTGGACCCTGAGAGTTTTGAGTTGTCGGTTGGGCTCCCGTTGCTCCCGATGGGTCCCCCTGACCCTCCGTGTGACCCACCGATTTTTTGGTGGGGGGATTGGGAATCTAATCCCTCGCAGTGGTCCAATGCTGCATTCACGGACGGGTCAGGTATGTGGTCGTCTCAACCTGAGATTAGGGCGTGTGGCTGGGGTGTGGTCCAGCTGAGCGCGTCGGGCATGCCACTAAGAGCGTGCTATGGCAGGCTCGGAGGCGCCAGCCAAACGGTTGGTGAAGCCGAGCGGGTCGCCTTTTTGCGAGCGGTGGAAAAAATCCCGTCGCTGCAGGTCATAGTCACTGATCTTTTGGGCCTGGCCAATGAAGCTCAGGAGTGGAGTGCGGAGTCTGAAGGTCCAGGGGCTGAGCATGCCGCGGTGTGGCGGCAGATTCGTGCTGCGGTCGTGCGTCGCGGAGGGGTCCCGCCCACCACTCATTGGTGTCCTGCCCATAGGGACCTCTCGGATGCGGCCCTGGCGACCCCTGGATCTGGCCCGCCGTTTTTGTACGTCCTGGTAAATGCCTGGGCTGATTTCTTTGCCAAGGCTGGTGCTGCCAGCCAGATGGTTGGACAAGGCACGGCTGATCTGTTTCGGATCGCGCTCAAGGAGTGTCAGGAGTTCGCCAAATATCTGGCTTGGGCTGGGGGTCGGGCCATTGATCTGGGGATTGGGGCGTCGTCGTTGTCGGATGGGGCTGCTCGTTCTCGTCCGAAGCCTGGCCCCCGCCCAACCCCTGTTGAAATTTTAGAGCCTGGTGAGCCCCTCGCGTGCCACAGCATGTATAGGAGTGACGCCGCCCAGGAATGGAGATGCAGGCGGTGTGGAGTCGCCACCAGGACTGCAGCTGGTCTCCACGCCCTCAGGTCCTGCTCGGCGCGCTGCACGCCTACCGAGGTGCAGCGCTGGCAGGCCGCCCGCGCTTTCTCTCGCTGCTCCGATTGGAGGCCGACCTCCGATGCGGCCCATGTCGCCCTTGAGGCGGCGGCAAGGGTCCTTGAGACGGGCCCCACCTGGGTGCCGAGCCCTGGGGAGGGCTCTGGGGCTCGGCGTTTTGCCGACTTGGCCCTGTTCCGCGACCTCGGCCATCGGATGGCTGAGGCGGGTGCGTACGTCTTTTGTGAGCGGTGTGCGTGCTGTGCTGGGGAGTCTGGGCGGGTGCTTGGTCTCAAAGCCCCTTGTCAAGGACCTTCGGAGGTCCCCAAGACTCTCAGCGCTCAGAAGACCCGCCTCCAGAGGTTGAGGAGTGGGCTGCCGCCTAGATAGCGGCTGAGGGTCCTGGGTCCTGGCTGACACCGATCTGGGGCCCTCGAGTTTTTGTTTTCTCTGTGTAGCGTGGGTTCGGGCGACTTGGACTCACCTTCTACTGGCGTCATTCCTCCTCCTCCTCCTCCTCCTCCTCCTCCTCCTCCTCCCTCCCTCCCTCCCTCCCTCCCTCCCTCCCTCCCTCCCTCCCTCCCTCCCAGCCCTCCCTTGCCCTCCCTCCTCATCCGCCTCCCCCCCTCCCTCCCTCCTCCCTCCCCTGCCCTCCCTCCCCCCTCCTCCTCCTCCGCCCTCCCTACCCTCCCTCGAGGCCTCCCTCCCTCCCTCCCTCCCTCCCTACCCTCCCTCCCTCCCTCCCTCCCCTCCCCCTCCTCCTTCCTCCTCATCCTCCTCCTCCTCCTTCCTCCTCCTCCTCCACCTCCTCCTCCTCCTCCTCCCGCCTCCTCCTCCTCCTCCCAGCCTCCCCCGCCTCTTCGCCCCGAGCCTCGTGCTTCGCACGAGGCTCCAGTCGGAAGCCGGGCAAGGGCTGCTAGATCCGTGGCTGCAATCGACCTCCGGAAAACTGTCGTCGTCCTCCCCGGAAGAAGCCCGGCGCGGCGACGGAGATCGGCACGCCCCAAGGCAGCCACCCCTCGGGCGTCCCTGCCCCTGCCTCGAGCCTCCCCTCCTCTCCTCCTCCTCCCCTCCTTCCTCCTCCTCCTCCTCCTCCGCCTCCTCCACCTCCTCCTCCTCCTCCTCGTCCTCCTTCCCCCCCTTCCGCCTTCCCTCCCGCCCTCCCTCCCTCCTCATCCTCCTCCTCCTCCCCCTCCCTCCCTCCCTCCGCCCACCCTCCCTCCCGCCTCCCTCCCGCCGCCCTCCCTCCCTCCCTCTCCCTGCTTCCAGCTGCTGGCGCGACAGCTCCTCCTCCTCCTCCTCCTCCTCCTCCTCGTCCTCGTCCTCGTCCACGTCCTCGTGCCTCGTCCTCGTCCTCGTCCTCGGCCTCCCTCCTCCGCCTCCACTCCTCCCTCCTCCCCTTCCTCCTCCACCTCCTCCTCCTCCCCCTCCTCCCCCATCCTCCCCTCCTCCCCGCCTCCCCCCCTCCCCGCCTCCTCCTCCTCCTCCTCCTCCTCCTCCTCCCCTCCTCCTCCGCCTCATCCGCCCTCCTCCTCCGCCTCCTCCTCCGTCCTCCTCCTCCTCCCCAGCCTCCTCCTCCTCCTCCTCCCCTCCGATCCCCCTCCGCCCCTCCTCCCCTCCTCCCCTCCTCCGCCCTCCATCCTCCTCCTCCCCTCCCCTCCTCCTCCTCCTCCGCCTCCTCCTCCCCACCACCCCCCTCCTCCCCATCCTCCCCCCTCCTCCCCTCCTCCCCCTCCTCCCCCTCCATCCTCCTCCCCTCTGCTCCTCCTCCTCCTCCTCTCCACCGCTCCTCCTCCTCCTCCTCCTCCCTCCTCCTACCTGCCCCAAAGCTGCCTCTCTCGGCCTCGAACGCTCGTGCGTCGCACGGGGCTCCAGGCGGAAACTGGGCAAGCGCTGCTAAAGCCGTGGCTGCTACAATCGACCTCCCGGAAACTGTCCTCGTCCTCCCGGGAAGAAGCCCGTGGACTGCTTCGCGTGCCGCGCCTCACTTCAGTGAAGTTGCGCTTGCCTTCCGGGAGGGCCGTTCTAGCAGCCACGGTTTTAGCAGCCCTCGCCCAGCTTTTTTTTCGATCCAGGCTGCGCCGCGAGGGCCCTCGGCGAGGCAGGCGTGCACGCGTGCGAGCGATGCCCGAGCGCAGGGGCGGGCCGCTGTCCGCATCCCCCGCCCCTCGAGAGCCCCAGGGCAGGGCTCCAGGAGCGGCGGGTGTGGGCACATTCTTCAGTCGGGCCTGTCCTCCTACAGGGGGATTTTGGAGGACAAATGAAACATAGCCCAAACAAACGCCAAAATGGTCAAACAATACCCCCAAAACAGTCTCCAAACTATTCTTTGACTATGTTTGATGATTCCTCCCGTAGAGGGACGGGCCCGACTTAAGCACATTCTGGCGGTGGCTCCTCGATGAGGGCGATGAACTCCCGGCTCTCGAGCACGCCGCTGCTGTCCTATAGGGCAACCACCGCTGCGCCCCGCGCTCCGCGAGGCGCGAAGCGGGGTCGTCTTCGCGCTGTCGCGCCGCTCCGCCTCCAGGACAGTGTTCAGCGTTGGGGAAACGGGTCCTGAGGGAAACAGGTCCTGGGCCCCAGGGCCTTCCCCCCAGGACCACTTTGTCATCCCAGGTATGTAGTCTTCTGACCCGGTGGAGGGCCCCAGGAAGTCCAGAGCGGCGAACGGGACTCAGGACCCGCTTCCCTCAAGACCCGCTTCCCCCACTGCGAAAGATGGGGGACTCGCGCCTCGCTCTGACCTCGCCCAGGCCGCGAAGCGCGACTAGCTGTGGTGGCCCTCCTCCTCCTCCTCCTCCTCCTCCTCCTCCTCCTCCGCTTCCTCCTCCTCCCCTCCCCCCTCCTACTCCCCCGCCTCCTCTTCCTCCTCCTCCTCCGCCTCCTCCTCCTCCTCCTCCTCCTCCTCCTCCTCCTCCTCCTGATCCGCATCCTCCTCCGCCTCCTCCCCGCCCTCCTCCTCCTCGTCCTCGTCGTCGTCCTCGTCTTCGTCGTCGTCCTCGTCCTCGTCGTCGTGGTCGTGGTCATCCTCGTCGTCGTCCTGGTCGTCCTCGTCGTCGTCGTCGTCCTCGTCGTCGTCGTCGTCGATCTCGTCGTCGTCGTTGTCGTCGTACTCGTCCTCGTCCTCGTCCCCGTTTTCGTCCCCGTCCGCGTCCTCGTCCTCGTTCTCGTCCTCGTCGGCGTCCTCGTCCTCGTTCTCGTCCTCGTCGGCGTCCTCGTCCGCGTCCACGTCCTCTTCCCCGTCCTCGTCCTCGTCGTCGTCGTCCTTGTCCTCGTCGTCGTCGTCCTCGACCTCGTCGTCGTCCTCGTCGTCATCCTTGTCCTCTTCCTTGTCCTCGTCGTCGTCGTCCTCGGCGTCCTCGTCTTCGTCGTCGTCATCGCAGTCCTCGGTGTCGTCCTCGTCCTCGTCCTCGTAATCGTCGTCGTCCTCGGCGACGTTGTCGTCCTCGTCCTCGTCGTCTTCTTCGTCGGCGTCGTCATCGTCGTCCTGGTTGTCCTTGTCGTCGTCCTCGTCCTCGTCCTCGTAGTCGTCCTCGTCGTCGTCGTTGTCGTCGTCCTCGGTCTCGTCCTTGTCCTTGTCGTCGTCGTCCTCGTCCTCGTCGTCGCCCTCGTCGTCGTCCTCGTCGTCGTTGTCGTCCTCGTCGTCTTCCTCGTCCTCGTCCTCGTCGTCGTCGTCCTCGGTGTCGTCGTCTTCATCGTCCTCGTCGTCGTCTTCGTCGTCGTCCTCGTCATCGTCGTCGTCGTGGTGGTCGTCCTCGTCGTCGTCGTCTTCTTCGTCGTCGTCCTAGTCCTCGTCCTCGTACTCGACGTCGTCGTCGTCGTTGTCGTCCTCGTCCCCGTCCTCGTCCTCGTCGTCGTCCTCGTCGTCGCCGTCGTCGTCATCCTCGTCCTCGTCCTCTTCCTCGTCCTCGTTCTCGTCCCCGTCCTCGTCCTCGTCCTCGTCGTCGTCGTCGTCGTCGTTGTCGTCGTCCTCGTCCTCGTCCTCGTCGTCGTTGTTGTCGTCGTCGTCCTCGTCCTCGCCCTCGTCCTCGTCCTCGTCGGCGTCCTCGTCCTCGTCCTCATCGTTGTCGTCGTCCTCGTGTCGTCGTCCTCCTCGTCGTCGTTGTCGTCGTGGGCGTCGTCGTCGTCCTCGTCGTCCTCGTCGTCCTCGTCGTCCTCGTCGTCCTCGTCGTCGTCCTCCTCGTCCTCGTCCCCGTTCTCGTCCTCGTCGTCCTCGTCCTCGTCCTCGTCCTCGTCGTCGTCGTTGCGTTTGGGCGTCCCTTGGCATCGGCGCTGGGGAGCTCTCCAGGGCCAGCGACCTTTGGGCGGGCGCACTGCCCTGGAGGGCCACAGCACCCCCCAGGATGCCTCCTCCTCATCCTCCTCCTCCTCCTCCTCGTCCTCCTCTTCGTTCCTCCTCCTCCTCGTTCCTCTCCCTCCTCCTCCTCCTCCTCCTCCTCCTCCTCCTCCTCCTCCTTCTCCTTCTCCTCCTCCTCCTCCTCCTCCTCCTCCTCCTCCTCCTCGTCCTCCTCGTCCTCCTCCGGCCGCTTCCCTTTTGTGTGATGCGTGGGCCCTGGAGGACCAGACCTTTTTCCCTAGAAGGCCGGCTTCTCGTCCTGAGTACAGGTTTCCGACGCTCGGCAAGGTCCGGCGAGGGCCCCCGGAGGCCGAAAACGGCCAAAGAGCCACCCGCTCTAATTTTTGTTACTGGAGCGTCGGGTCTCGGGACTCTCTGCGCCGCCCTCCGCCGCCCTCGAGGCCCGCCCCCACCGCCGCCTCCGCCGCCCCGCGGCCGCTCCGGCCCATCACCTCCCGAGAACGGGAGGGTACTTCGACGCGCCGCCAAGGGCCGGCCAGGCCCCGCCGTGGCGAGGGGCCCAGACATCCTCCGACATGCTGGTTTCGATCCGCGGGCAGGGAGGTCCCGACGCCTTCGACGGGGGCAGTCTTGAGGGGTCCTGGGTCCGTTGCGGACGAGGCGCGCAGAGGGCCCGAGAGGGCCAAATTCAGAGAAGGACGCCAGGATTGAAAAGAGCATCGTGTCGTCCCCAGACATCTGGCCGCTCCAATATGTTTCATGCATGGGCCCTGGAGGACTACTTCCCCAGGGCCGGCGTCTCGTCCCGAATCGTTTCTTTGGGCGCTCCCGAGGCCCGGCGAGGGCCCACTGGAGGCCGAAAGAAAACGACAGAAGCCGCCCGCTCATTTTGGAGCGTCGGATCTCTGGGACTGACCCAGACCCCCGACGTCATGATTTTTTCATGACGCGACCCCCAGAGGTCCGGACCCATTCCCCGGGACTGGCTTATCATCCTGAGCCGTTTTCTGACGGTCCTGAGGGCCGGGGAGGGCCCCCAGAGGCCGAACATAGCGAAAAACCTCGCGCCGTGATTTTCTCATGACTCGAGGGGGTCTGGGGAGGAAGCAGCACGTCGCCGGAGCTCTGAGGCCCAGGGCGCCTGCCCGCCCTCCGCCATATGTGGGCGCCCGCCCCGGCGGCCTCCCGGCGCGCCACCGCCCGGCTGGCGCCGGCCGCGGCCGCTGCCCCGCGGCGGGTGCCGCCGCCGCGGAGGGGCCGCGGCGCCGGCGGCGACCGCGGCTGCGCGGGCGGCGCAGCGGCGCCGACGCAAGAGGCCCGCTGCGGGAGCCTCGAGACCCAGACCCCCTAGAGTCGTGAAAAAATCACGACGGGACGTGTTTCGCTATTTCCGGCCTCCGGGGGCCCTTACCGGCCCTCAGGACCGTCGAAAAACGACTCAGGATGAAAAGCCGGTCCCGGGGAATGGGTCCGGACCTCTGGGGGTCGCGTCATGAAAAAATCATGACGTGGGGTGTCTGGGGACTCAGTATCGTTGAGCCGACCCCCATCCTCATCCCCGTCCCCTTCGAGACCCCCACCGAAGGGCTCCCCCAGTTGGGGGTACACCCCTGGACACCCCAGGGGAACGGCCTATGTCCCCTATCGAGGGGGTAAATCGGCCAGTGGGGCCCAGGCCACGCCGCTGGGGACAGGGATCGGATAAACGATGCTCAGAGACGGGGGTCAATGCAAACGGGGGTCAGCCAGAGCGTCCGATCTTGTAGGATCCTGCAGGGCCAGGGTCGTAGACCTGGGCTTGGGCGCAGGATCCTGCAGGATCCTTCGCGTTGGCCCGAGTTTGGGTGCAGGAGCTTGCAGGATCCTGCAAGGCCTGACCGACCCGGGTCTGGATTGACCCTGGTCAGAAGATCCCCGACCGCTACGATCTGTGAGATCCTGGCGATTAAATTTTTCACGACTGGCGTTTTCGCCAGGCTTCGCGCGCTGGGACCCTCACAGACCGATCCGGCTCGAAGAGTGACGCAGAAAGAGGGGGCCGAGGCCCGCTATTGTCCTCGAAGCGGCATAGACAGAAACGTTCGGCGCTCCGCGCGGATTTCTTGGATCCGCGCTGGGCCTCCCCGGCGGCACCTCCGGCGCCGTCCTTCGCACGCGGACCACGCCAGGGAGTGGGGTCCAGCGAAAATCCAAGAAACCCGCGCGTAGCGCCAAAAGTTTGAATTAATGCAGTTTTTCTCTTCTTCTAGATTCAGGGCCCCCTGAGCCAGCTGTCTACACGTAGGAGTGACTTTTCGCCGGGGTGACCTTTGACGCGATGCGGCAGTAGCGTCTTGCGCGCTTGTGTCTGGTCCCCCAAACGCCGCGCACCAAAGGTCACTCTTACCCAGGGTCACTCTTGCGTGTAGATGAACCAGGAAATGGCTGACCAGGGTCCAAATCCTTCCTCATCGTTGTCGCCCCCCTCTTGTCCCCACTCCAGTTCCCGTTTCTGCCGTTCGTCCTCGGCATCATCCTTCGTCCTCCTCCTCCTCCTCCTCCTCCTCCTCCTCCTCCTCCTCCTCCTCCTCCTCCTCCTCCTCCTCCTCCTCCTGTCAGTGCGAGGGGGAGCTCGCGGAGTGGGAACGGGATCGAGGTTCTGAGTGCGCCAACACCGGTTTTTTTTGTTCCGCAGCTGCGTTTGCTCAAGTCTCACGGGGCCACGCATGGACCCCCACAGCGGACTTCTGGCCTCCACGCGTGGCTCGCGATAGGACCCTGGGCCGCGCCGCGGGCGCCCCCCCGCGTCCGTCGCCGGCATATGCCCCGACCTGCCCCGACGTCCATCAGAGCGTGAATTGCTTACCCCGCTTTCGCTTCCAGGAAAAACCAAGTCATACCACGCGCCTCCTCGTCAAGCGGCCTGACCAGTACAGGCCGTAGTTTGGCATCGCTTGGTATCTCTTGGAAGCGAGGGTGGTCAAAAGCGAGGTAGGTTTGTTTCTCCCCTAGTCCAGTGCTCCGCGCTGCGCCTCTCAGTGTGCACGGCCCCCGCGGCACAGTAGGGCCGGCGGCCCCAGACCCGGGCCCTCCTGGGGGCCCTGCGGCTCCCCTCCTTTCGGGGCTGCTGGAGGAGCTGGGAGGGGCGCGCGCGCTGCTCGCGCACG